TCCGATCATAGCTGCGAAACCATGACATCGTAACAACCCTAATATGTAAATGTGTTCTAGTGACATCACAAAAACAGTTCATTCAAAATGGGCTGTTTCTGAAGTTGGACTGGGAAGTGAAGGTTTACATACTCCAAACATCAAATTCAGTTTTCCATAATATGGGCCCTTTAATAACCCAGCAAGCCTGTTTTATTTCCTAACAAAGGTCTTCCACCAATGGCTGGTGATGCATGGGAGATAATTAGTTTGTGAAGTGGCCCATTTGCATTCATTATCAGGTTCAAGTTGTTTTTGATATGGGTAGTGACATGAACCTTTTCTTTCTTTCGTAAAACACTGATTTTATTATGCTACAGTTTGTTATTCAGGACGCAGCAGTACCCTAATCTCCCTCTTGCCAACAGGGTGTCTGTCAAAATGCGGTGGTCTCCTATAGCATGTTAATGAGGGCCTAAGTAAGATAATAGAAAATGAAACACGTTCTACGCCTCTAATCAATATGTTTTCTCTGGACAAGCGGGGCTCCATTTTCCCCCAGCAAAGCGTCAGAGTGCTCTCCTCAGCATAATTGGCTCCTCTTGATGATGAGAGAAGGGGGAAGGAGGAGGGGTGGAGAAAGGGGGCCAGAGACAGGGAAAGAGACAGAGGGAACTGCTTATGGAGAAGGGAACTGCTTATGGAGAAGATACTGAGAGGAAGCTCTTCACCTTTGAGCTTCTCATTCTGGCTGCCTGACAGGAACTGCACTCAGAAGCACAGGAAACATGTGGTCTTCCCTCATCTCTACTACGGGAGAGATTAATAGACTTCTCCAATTACCTCAGACAGTGGAGGTGTTGGATTGGAGCAAACGTGACAGGCTTAATACGCCGGTTAAGAAGACTCCACGGCACAGCATGGCCTAGTTATACAGTCTGAGCTGTTTCCATGTGGCCTTGTTTTTCCCTAATGTGAGTTTAGGAGCCCATTAACGGAAGGGGACGACAGACCAATGCTCTTAAGGATGTGAGCTGTTCTCTCCGTTCAAAGTGACTTTATAGAAGTCACATTAGATTTGGCTCCATTCATTGCTAATGAGGTCCTGCCTTTTTCATCAGCCGGAGTAGTGGTTCTCCATTAGCTTTTTCAATGCTTTCATGTAAGGATGTGTACAAGTTATCGCAAACTTGCTCAGCTGTTTCAAGAGTCAGTATTCAAATGCTGAAACCACTATTCAGGCATTCGTTATTAGCATCAGAGGAATTCAGGGAGACAATTCAGCACAGTTCAATGCAGGAATTCTGGAGGAATCAGTGAAATCTCAGATTTATGTTTTAGCAGAGCTGTGAAGTCGGGATGCACTATGACAAATCATATTGGTTATTATATATATGTGATCAAGACTGAGATATTGAAATATCTGTATAACTTCAGTATGAGTGGGAGGGGCTAAACTGCTGTAGGCTGAATGGATGGATATTTGTACATAAGCTAGTTTTCATGACGTCACAAACATGAATTGACAGTTTTCGCAGCTGAGTTTCATATATATGCACTATATGGACTAGGGAGTGTTTACATACTACATAAAAAAAATATTATAAACATACAACATAAAAACAAACAAAATCTAGGTTTCTTTTGGGGTTAGGAACTGTGGACACACAAACACACACACACATATATGTATGTATATATAAAATGCCTGTTGCCCTATACATTGTGTGTACATTTCATGATGAATGGACCAAAAGAAACCCAAACGACTGCTTTACTCAGCAGCTATGATGTTGAAGCTATGATGTTGAAGATAATCTGATGACTAGATAATCTTTTTCTCCCCATAATCCCCGCAACTCGTTTTGGGTTAGCCTATCTTCCTTCATGCCTTCACATCATCCTTTCTGCTTCTAACTTGCAAGCCATGTTGTTATCAGCTATCGCCGTGATACACCTTGGTCAGTTGAATTGCTGCCATTTCTGTCAGATCAAACAGATACAGCTGAAATGGCTTGTTCCCAAGCAGTCAAAGCTGAAAGTCTGAATGAAAGGGAACATAGCAGCGGCAGTAGCAACAGCAGCGGCAGCAGCGACTGCGTACTTGCCTGCGTTTTGTCAGCTGTCGCACTACATTGCCTGGGGCTGATGTCTAAATATGGATTCCCTCCCACTGGAGGTTAAGGGATGAAACCAACTGCTGCCCGCCTGAACTGCCATGCAGTGTGAGTCGCCTCGGCACACTTCAGCTCCCATTTGCAAGGCCGTAGACCCATGTGGCAACATTGTGGTAATAAGCTGTGAAGATGTCTCCTTCTTTTACAGCACTTCATCTATGGGGCGTAAGGCAATAATTATCTTCTCTCACTGGCTTGTCTCTGACTGAGGCACGTGACATGAGGTCAGGTATATGGATTTTTCCTCATCGGGGACCAGTGCGTGAAGTGGTTTGAGGAGATAACAGAGATGTGTGGCGTGCATTGCTTTGTTCATTGTCAGACCGTTATGTCAGCATTGCCACAGGATCAACGGCCAGGCTCCACCCTATTGTTGCCACGTCACCTTGGCTCCGCCCCTTGTCCTTTTCATTACTGTAGTGTTTATTCTGTAATCTTGCCTTTTAGTGTCATTCCAAAATGCTGTATATCCATTTGTAACAAGTTTGAGTATAACCAGTTTTTTCATATCAGGACAATTATTTTTATTTCTCTAATAAAGATGGTATTCATCATAATATAGCATTGATATTGCTTGTATGTGTGAAGGCCACTCCCAGCAATGCAGATCAAGAAAAAAACATTATTGAAAATGATAGACTTGTCACGATTAGTACACATTACATCACTTAATTGCAGTTATTTGAGATGATTGCAATTATTTAAACTGGAATCATTTTACCCAGTTGTTAGATTTCACAGTCATGTTAATGCTGCTTGTCTTGCTTATCATCATAGCCTGAAAATACAAAAAAATATAGTGTTCTTACATGTTTAGAAGGCAGCACTGAGTACTGTTTGTTAGCTGTGTAGCTTTTTTTTAGCATGTATGCTGGAAGAATTTGTATTTTTTGGCTTATATTTTCACTCTTGTGAAAAACATGTAGCTTTACTTGACTCTACGCTCGATTCTGTGTAACTATAGACATTTGTGTGGTGTTTGTGTTCAGACATTAGTGTGTGAATAGCTAGCAAGTTTGATGGCTAATCAGCCAATTTGGCCACTTTAGGCTTGTACTTTGATAGTTGCACGCAATGAACAGGAAAAGACAATTAAATCATTAATTACAATTATGTACATGGCAGACTGTCCAGCTAAAAATTCATGATCATGACATGCCTAGAAAGTGGGCTATAATGTAGTTTGGAAACCAAACCCTTCAATTATTTTCGGCACCCGTCTTGTTTAATCTGTTTAATGTTGTAGTCCAGACCATTAGGAACAATAGAGAGAGGCAAGACCGAGACCCGGACACACTGAGTCTGAGTCAAGACATGACTTTGTAGTAATCAAGTCTGAGTCAAGACCAAGACTTAGAGTGGGTGAGACGAAGTCAAGACCAAAAAAAGTAAAAAAGAAATGTGAAATTTGTGATGAAATATGTGAAAAAAATAGATTTTTATTAAATATTATACATACTATTAAGGGATGCACCACAGGTTTGGCCACCAAAACGTTTCCTTCTAAAATGGTCAAAAAATGAAGTTTATATGAAGAACATTAGACATGCATGTTGTACTTATTGTTCAAGTATCAAGAGAGGGCCTGATGCTCAGGAACTTCTCCACTACAGGTTTGATACCACTTGATATGCTAATCACTGTAAACAACAAAAGCAGAAATGAAAAGCCCCCCGATTGCATGCTAACAATCTCTAGCCACAGGTTTTGAAATGACAAAAAAACTTCACAAATGACAGTGTGAAAGTGCAAACTGCAAAAAATATGGAAAGTGTAAAAGAATTGATGGAATTCATTGCAGATGTTCTCTGTTGTCAAGCACACTAGGTTTTGTTAGTAATGGAAGAGTATTTTCTGTATTATCTTGTAGTTTTTATATTTAGTATGTTTATTCAAAAGCATAAATAAAACAGCAGATAAAAACAAAAGTTTCGGTTTTTGAAACACTAAATTAGTGACTTGCTTTTTATCCTGTTAGCCAATCTGTGGGCGCGTTTTATTTTAGACACAAAAATATTGATATTTGATGATGATATATTAATATTAGGGCTGATGTAGCAGCAATTTTTGACACAGTGATGTTTGTGAACTACTGCAATATTGAAAAGCGTTTATAGTTGTATGAGGCTACTGAAATTAAACTCTGGTTATTCTGCTGTATGAGGTGCATCATTGAACATAATACAGCACATTAACACCAACGCAAGCTTGTTTTATTCCAGAAGCCACGCAGCACAGCGGTAATGTGGACGATTTCTGATTCACTTTTTAAAGCTGGTAACACTGTGAGAGTGTATATTGTAGCTTTTAGTGACAAGCGGCACAGAACACTGAAATCAGTGCATGTGTTCCTTTTGTTGTAGTAGCTGCTTTAGGACAAAATAGTCTTTATTTTACACAGCTGCCCCCTCAGCTGGTCCAAGAAAAGTCTCCTTTACCTGGAGACCAAGACAAGGTCGAGTCAAAAGGATTCCTGAGACCAAGAAAATTTCACATTTAACGCATTTGGCAGCCACTTTGAAGAGATCTTCAGAAATACTGCTGGTGTATATTGGAACCCATTTTCAGATACATGTGCATGTAGTATTGATCTAACCGAACTGCTTGACAAAGCACTGTCTGTAAAGAGAACTACATCGTGATGAAAGTTTGCTGAAATGTTCTGAAGAAACTGTTCTGCAAAATTCAAGGTGATGTTATGCAAGTCTGTGTGGCTCATATCTCTGGAGAAAATCTGCTGGATGTACAGGAAACCTGTGCCCACACACCTCTCCGCTTCAGCATACTGAATGTTTGTTCCCTCCCTCTTATACTTTCCTTTCTCTCCTCCCTCTCTTCACACAGTGCCATGCACCCCCTGGCAAACAGCTGTTGCCCACGTAGAGGTCTCTCAGCCTCCTGATCGTGTCCTCTCCGGCCACAGAGGATGCTGGGAATTTGTCGTGGGCGCAGGAAGTTCCTGGCTGCGTCCCTCGCCCTGCTCTTCATCCCAGCCCTCACCTGGCTCTACCTGTCTGCTGCCAACTTCTCAGGTAGGGGGTCTGTAGTGGGCTGTCGGGGACGTGGTTGTGGCTGTACAGTGTTACCTGCCTTATTTATTGTTACAAGACATTACATCTCTCTCTCCCTCTCTCTCTCTCTTTTTCTCTGTGTCTGTCTGTCAATTGTTCTTTCTCTCTCTTTCTTTCTTTCTTTCTTTCTTTCTCTTTTCTTTCTTTCTCTTCCTCTCTTTTGCTCTCTATTTCTGTCTCTCTCTCTTTCCAGCAATTTTCCTTTTTCGTCTCTAGTATGTTTTTTTAGCACCATTTTATGTTATTATTTTAATATTCAGCTATGTCTCCATCCCTCCCTTTCTCTCTGCTGTTTATTTATTGTATACTCTTTTTTATTTGTTTACAAGATTCTCTCTCCCTCACTCTCGCTCTCTCTAACTCTCTCGGGTCATTTTTCTTTTCTGTCTGACTGAAGAATGGTCCACTCTTTCTAATATGCTCTTGTTAGCACTATTTGGTCGGCTTGACCTTTCTCATTCCTGTGCATTATTAGCTAAGTAAGACGAAAGCTGCATTTGCATAACTATGGCTTGACATAATTCTGTTTCTGAGTGACCCAGAAAAAAAGCCCCATTACACTCAAGAGTGACTCTGCAGTAGAGCGCTGCAGAACTTCACTTTGAGGAGTAAATGTATACGGCGCATTCTGCACATTCTTCTCTATGTAAAGCTATTCTTTTTGCAGTCAGCTTGGGACGTCTAGTTTTATAGCTTTGGTATAGATTACCTCATATCTCCAAAATGCTGAATGATGTGGAAAAAAATTCAAAATGGAATTATAAGGCTTTGATATGACAGCAGCAAAATACTTATCTATAGCTTGATTTGGATGAAATTAAATGTACATGTTGTCTTGGGTGGGTATTTTCCTCTTTTGAAGGTGCTACTCGGTTGTTTATTAGTTATTTTCATCAGGATCAGTTAAGTTGGTGTGTTTCTCTCTTCTCTCCTTAGAAAATTGCAGTCAGAATTACCTGCTGTTTTTAACTGAATTAAGTGGTTTGATCTAATTTTAGTCCCGCCCTTATGCATATCTGCATGATTTTCCAAGCAGGTGTCACCTTGTGTAGAGGAAAAAATGCTTTTTGACCGCTCCTACTCACCATGTTTAGTCTCCTTCATATTAAACACTTCACAAATCATGAAACGATGGATTGAGAGGTATCTCTCAACCATTTACTTGATCTTCATGGTAGAACTTTGTCTCCATCCTCTGCACACTTGGAGAGCATAAGAATGAGGAGATTGACTTTGTTGTATTAGCAAAAGTGAGATCCCACAGGTTAGTTAAAGAGGCAACTACAGGTATAAAGCATCCTTATATTCACAATATCATCGACTTTTATTTTTTTCTGATCGTATGACCATGTGTGATGCAAACAAACGGGTTCATAGAAAATACAACCTACTAGAAACTCCCTCGTCCTGGTGTGACTTATTGCTGTTCAGGGGCAAGAGTGTTATCACTAAAGAATAGCCCTGTCACAATTATTACGTAATTACCTGATCGCGATTATATGAGATTGTAATGAGACAGAATCAGTCAGACACTCGCGGATAAAAAGAGTAAAAGAAGCTTTACTGGTTATTATGTTATCCAGAGTCATCGTCAGAAAACAGGCAATGGTCAAATCGAATAAAGACAAAATACAAACATAGATAAACATAACAAACAAGATCAGGCAAACAAATAAATCCAGTAGGGTTGAGGCAAAAAGGCAAAGTCCAAAACAGAGTAGCAAAGTCAGAACCGGAATGGAATACAAACACTAGTAAAGGACCGCTCAGTAGCTCTAAACAGAAGCAATACCTCGCAAAGTCTAAAGCTCAAAGCCCGGGCTTATAAACTGTCCTGACTAGGTCACATGCTACATAGAGCAGGTGAACAGAATCCAGTGAGGCAGATTTCTGTTAGGTAGTGTGGTATGACGTCATGGTCATGTGCTCATTCAGAGGATTCTATTTTCCAGAGTGTCAGAGCCAAAGGGGTGTGCAACAGAGGTGACTGCATTTGTATATCATTGTTGTCAGAAGAAAACCTCAAATCTCCAAAATGGTAATTTTACAGGAAAAGAAAAGAACCAGACATTTTGTCTGGGAATTTTTTTTTGGGTTCATTCTTCATGAAATTTACACACAATGTAAAGGCCAACAGGCATTTTCAAAAATATGTCAAAACCTGAAAAACGACAAAAATGGAGATACGAGGTTTTCTTACAACAAACAGAATATCAGTTGGGTGCATTTTCATAGACACATTAATTGATATCATTTAAGTGCTGCCACACTTTTGTTAGCTATTAGGTATATCTTATTTTCACACTTAAGAGAAATAAAAGTTGTTTGACACATGATTCTGTGTAACGGTTGGCAAATGTGTAGTTCATAATTATTTGTAATAACAGCAACATAATAATAATAATAATAATAATAATAATATGAAGTTTCATTTATATAGCACATTTCTCAAGCCCAGTGGCACTTTACAAAAGTAACAAAATACACAATCAGCATTAAATAAAACAAACACTCCAACCTCCCCACCCCCACCCCCCTACACACACATGCACACACACACAAACACTTATACACACACATGGCCCAGCTGGCAGGGTGAAAACTCCCCAGATCTCCCCTATAATCACTTAGCCAGCCTGGAAAAAGTCCTTGGCTGTGGAGGGAAGGCCCCACAACTACAGTGTAGTGTCACACGGGCAGCTGTCCTGGGAAGCCTGTTGCCCAGAAAAGGTCCTTAGCGTTGGCTAGCATTGGTTGAATTGCTTAAGCAGCTTCGAAGCTGCAGTGTAGCGTCACTCAAGCAGACGAACACCACTAGGCCAGGCTGCCTCATACTGCATTGCAGTGTCACTCAAGTGGCAGAGAAGCCTCTAAACCATGGGTGAAAGCTACTCTTGGCCACTATCTTAGTGCGATGGCAAACTGCTCAGCCAGCGGGAAACATCAAAACATACTCACAAACAATAAAAATTAATAAAACTGATGTAAAGCAGTAGCTATATTGTGCCAGCATACTTACACTACAACCCAACCACACACACACACACAAACACACATACACACATAACAGCAATTAATTAAGTATTAAGTATTGCAGCTGATCATCAGCGAAAAATTTCCCAATTGTGACAGGCCTACTAAAGAGACGTATAAAAATTGCATTAGAGGTCCCCCCAATAACCTAATCCAATCCAAACAGGGCTTTGGACTGAAAAAGCTCTACATATATAGACACTGTCATGCGTTTCTGCTTGCAATGTAGTGCCACCAAGGATCCAGCATATGTTCTTCTATAATATAGCGCTGCCAAAGCGGCTGATTCCTGAAATGCACAGCACCACCTCTGTTGTCTTTGTTTCATGATGTGGAAAATGTAAGTTTGTAGGAAAGGAAAAAAAAGACTGCAGAAACATGATTATCACCTCGTCTTCAGTGACCCAGAAAATATGAAAAGGTTGTGGTAAGATGCGCCTGAAGTAACAGTTGAGGGGGAAAAACAACTACTCAAACACAGTGGTTTGAAAATAGATCATCCTCGCCCCCTGCACTGGAACACTTCCAGCAATTGTGCTGTGGAGATTTCCATACACCTCTGAATTATTTAACAGTAGCCACAGTTAAAGGAGTAATCTACTGGAACATGTGCCTTGAGAGGCATATATCATCCACCACATTAATAAGGCTAATAAACATGTGCACATTAGGTTCACTGCTGTATTTACACTGCTAGATTGATTTCAGGGGCCAATGTGTGAATCCCGTAGCTACAGCAAAATGGTTCTACATTAATATAAAGATTTAGAGGCACCTTAGAAGGTCTGGGCCATGTCACTTCATGTACACATTAAAATGACTAGTGTGTTGGAGTGCGTGGAGGACGTGCAAGTGGGCCAGAAAAAATACGCTAATCCACTTTAAGAAAGTAAGCCTTTCTTAAGCCTAGCAACATGCATTAAAGTGTGTGTGGTTTTACTGTGAGTTTGAAATGTAAAGTTCAACAAAAAAGCACAGAATTTGGACTGTAAGAAAGTGGTGACCCTGATTATTGATTAAACCCATGTTTCTCATGGTTTATACACCTTAAAAATACCTCTTCTTTTTATGATTTCTCACTCAAAGCTCAAGCATAGTGCAGACTAAACATTTAATCGATATCACATTTGTGCTTGTAAGTGGTAGAGAGATATTTTATTATTTGAATTTGACAAAAAGCTGTTGTTTGCTCAGCCTTGTTTTCCAGAAAGAAAAACAAGACTGTACCATAATTATTTTTTTTTAACAGAGAGAAAAAGTCAAAAGTGCTGACTTGAAGCTGTTGATGCAGAATATAAATCAAATGTAAATGTAGTTCTGTATGTAACTAACTATAATTAGGACTTTGACCACTTATAACTTTATCAATATGTATTGATAACAGCCATAAAATTGATGTGTAATTTATTATTTTTTTTTCCTATTCATTTTGTATGCATGAGCATTCTGTATACCAATCTATTATACGAAACTCCAGTTCTGGTTTCACTTTATTTACACATGCAGCAGTGAGAGGCCCTGTGAGTGAAAACCAGATGACTGCTGTCAGAATAAGAAGCTGTGTTTTTGTTCTTAGTTATAGTTTAATGTTTAATCATTTTGAGTTCTGTTTACACGGAGTCTATTTTTACCTATTCAACGCACTGAAACCTTCACATCAAGCCCAATGCATTTTATTTAACATTGGCTATGTATACATGCAAAGATTTTTGCCAATCTGATTGAATACATTCCGATTACAGATTTAGACTGAGGTGTTTATGTGCTCACTCTGCTCGACAATCACTTTCTGCTTCTGCCATGTTGAACGTTCTAAACTTTTGCTATGACTTGAACGCTCATGTGCAGAACGTACTTACACTTTCCGATTGGGAATGTAATCGGATACAAGCTTTTACATGACTATTATTCTTCTATTTAACGGATTA